TGATGCAAGAGTAAGACTGGAGGTACCGAGAGAAAAGGAGGAAGGAGCTAGCAAGACTACACCAAAGGTAGAATTCTAGCCATCAAGGAATCGAGACATCAAGTGTTTTCGTTGCTTGGGAGTTCGACACATTGCTTTACAATGTCCAAATAAAAGAACCATGATTTTGCAAGACAGCAGGGAAGTGGAGACCGAGAGTAAAGGTTATTATGAAGACATGCAGGAGTTGGAGGACATTGATGAGGAAAACACCATGGAGTATGCAGTTGGGGAGTTGTTGGTCACGAGGCGAGCACTTAGCGCTCAAATCAAGGTGGATGACTTGGAGCAGCAGCGATAAATATATTCCTCACACGGTGTCATGTCAACGGGAAGGTATACAGTGCAATAATTGATGGTGGAAGTTGTACAAATGTAGCTAGCACTAATGTAGTGGAAAAATTAGGATTAACACTATTAAAACATCCTAGACCATATAGGTTGCAAGAGGTTAAGGTGAAAAAAAGGGTATTGATTAATTTTTCCATTAGGAATTATCATGATGAGGTGTTATGTGATGTTGTACCTATGCATGCGGGGCATATTTTGTTGGGGACAACCTTGGCAATATGATAGGAAAACAATACATGATGGGTATAAGATTAAATATAGTTTTGTGAAAGAAGGAAAGTCATCACTCTTGCGCCATTAACACCGGGACAAGTGTATGAGGACCAAATCAAATTGAAAAATGAGGAAGAAAAGAGCGGGAGAAAGTTAGAGAAAAAGAGAGAAAATAGTGGGGTGGCCGGTGAGGAAGAAAAAAGAGTGGGGCCAAATGAGAGAAAACAAAGAGAGTCTTTCCAGAGGAGAGAAAAGCCGAAAATAAATTTCTTTGCAAAAGGGAGTGAATTGAAAAAGGCGATAGTGGAGAGACAACAAATGATTCTTTTGGTATATAAGGAATCACTCCTCAATTTTGAAGAGTCTAACACATCCCTCCCTAGTTTAGTTACTTCTTTATTGCAGGAATTTGATGATGTGTTTCCGGAATGCAGGAAAAGAGGCATATAGCATACTTTAGCGAGAAACTAAGTGGGGCAGCTCTAGTTCGAGCCTTTGCCAAAGAGGTAATTTACTAGTTCGAGCTTTATTCTCTAGTTTGTTATTCACACCGACCATAAATCATTGAAACATTTGCGAGGTCAAAGTAAGTTGAACAAACGACATGCACGTTGGATGGAATTCATAGAGACTTTTCCATATGTCATTAGATATAAACAAGGCAAGGAAAACATAGTAGCCCATGCCTTGTCGCAAAGGTATGTGCTTCTTACTTCTTTAAGTGCGAAATTACTTGGTTTTGAGTAAGTTAAGGACATGTATGAAAACGATTTGGATTTTTCTAACATCTACAATTCATGTAATAAGGGGGCTATTGACAAGTTATTTAACCATGAGGGGTATTTGTTTCGAGAAAATAAATTGTGTGTTCCTAATTGCTCAATGCATGAATTGTTGGTTAGGGAGGCACATAGTGGGGGTTTAATGGGTCATTTTAGGGTAGTAAAGACTTTAGACATGTTAAATGAACGCTTTTATTAGCCTAAAATGAAGATTGACGTAGAACGAAGTTGTAGTCGTTGCATAACTTATAAAAAGGGTAAATCAAAGGTTTTACCTCATGGACATTATACAACTTTACTGGTACCTAGCGAACCTTGGGTTGACATTTCAATGGATTTTGTGTTAGGTTTGCCTAGGACTAAAAAGGGCTGTGATTCAATTTTTGTTGAGGTGGATAGGTTTAGTAAAATGGCACACTTTATACCATGTCACAAAACCAATGATGCCACTAACATTGCGGACTTTTTTTTTCAAATAAGTAGTGCGTTTGCTTGGTGTTCCCAAAAGTATTGTGTTCGATAGGGATGTTAAGTTTCTTAGTCACCTTTGGCTGCTCTTGTGGAATAAGTTAGGCACGAAATTATTGTTTTCTACAACTTGTCACCCACAAATCAATGGTCAAACTAAAGTAGTGAATAGAACAATTACACAACTATTGTGCACTATGGTTAATAAAAATCTAAAGAATTGGGAAGAATGATTTCCTTTCATTGAGTTTGCATATAATAGGGCCACGCATTCTACTACGTCGTTTTCACTATTTTGAAATCGATTATGGTTTTAATCCTTTAACACCTATGGATTTAATACCTTTGGCTATGAATGAACGAGGTAGCTTGGACGGGAAAAAGAAAGCCGAATTGGTAAAGACACTCCATGAAATGGTAAGGGAGCAAATAGAGAGGAAGAACAATCAACGCACAACACAAGGAAATAAAGGCCGAAAATATGTCACTTTCGAACTCGGAGATTGTGTTTGGGTGCATTTCAGGAAAGAGTGATTCCCAAAGCAAAGAAAATCAAAGTTATTGCCACGAGGAGATGGACCGTTCCAAGTGATTGAGAAGATCAACAACAACGCTTATAAGATAGATCTTCCCGGTGAGTATAATGTTCTCTGCAACCTTCAATGTTTTTGACTTATCTCTTTTCGATGCAAGTGCAGATTCGAGGTTGAATCCTTTCAAAGAGGGAGGAGATGATGTGATCCAGGAAGCACAAGTACCAAAGTCAAGTCTAGAGTCGAGCTTGAGAAAAGATCAGTTGATAGTCGAGGGGCTGATGATGCGATCGAGGGCCAAGCATGTGAAAGAGGTGATGGGATTGCTCGTCAAAGCAAAGGTTGATGAAACAATGTTCGAGATGTAAAATGGAGCAAGTCTCGTGTTAGGGACGAAGGACGAAGAGTATTAGATCAACGTCCTTAAAGCTGAAGAAAATGAAGCTAGAGCATTCAACCATGCGGCCGCATAGGTCTAATGTCCTGCGGTCGCATACACCCAACAGAAGTCCTAAAGTCGAAGACCAATTGTACTATATGACCGCATGCTCTAAAGCTATGTGGCTGCATAGGTCAAGTTCGAGGCGAATTTTTCCGACTTTCGCGTTTTTTCCTTATTTTAATAGAATTTCATTATTAGTAGATTTTTACCATAATTAGGCTATTGCGGACGAATTTTGCATTATTCTTAGATATTTTTCCTAGTTTACTTAGATTCTCTAGAATAGTATAAATACTTTATTCCTTATTGTAAAACATTACAACTCTCATATTATTGAATATTATTCGTGAGGCATTAATTGCTTTCTCTCGTCCTTCGTTGAACAACTTGTGAACTTATCAAGATTAATCTTGTGGCGTTCAAACCAACCGAGTGAGATTCATTTAAATTGCATAATCAAGAGGTCCAAATATTGTCGGCGATTCAGGTAGCTTGGTTCCAGTTTATTGGGTTTAATCCAAAACCTTGTCATTGGCTTTCTTGGGTTTGATTCTCATTTTGTTGTGGCTTTGTTAGTGATCACGCTATGTGGGTTCACATTAAAATGCCTAAAAATAAGGCTGCATCCTGGACATGTCCCACACATCGTGTCCCAGAAACCCTAAACTCTAAGCCCTAAACACTAAGCCTTGGGCCCTAAACCGTGAATCTTGGACCCTGGACCCTGAATCCTGAACCCTGGACCTTGAACCCTGAAATTGTTTGGAGGATTACATCGCATGGTAACTTTACCACCAAATCAGCATGGCAGCTTGTTCGTTCGGTTCGCCAGCCTCAAGATTCGTATCGATTACTGTGGAGCCCAATTTTGCCTACCACTATTTCATTCTTCTGTTGGAGACTGTGGTAGGATCTCATTCCTGTAGATGTGATTATTCAGAGGAGGATTGGGTGTCAATTGGCTTCTCTTGTCAGTGTTGTTCTGAGATTGAAACCATCAATCATATTTTCACGAGAGCAGAATCTCCGACCAGGTATGGCAGCACTTTGGAGACATCTTTCTGATACCTATGACTTCAGGGGAGGGGGTCCGACAAAGGTTCCAGAGATGGCGGTATTCTGGGCAACATGTTAGTCGTGGGCACATTCGTACTATCATTCCTCTACTGATATTTTGATTTCTATGGACTGAGAGGAATGATGCAAAACATAGGGGTGTTCATATGGTGATCTATTTTCTTCATATGGGAAGACTGTTCCGAGTTGTGCATTGGCGAGGGGATGTGTCACTTGCACCCCTTTTTGGCATTTCTATAACCCATCCTATCCCACCACCACCAATTATGGTTGTTTGGCGTACTCCACCAATAGGATCCTATAAGATCAACACTGATGGATGCGTCAAGGACGGAATTGCGAGTGGTGGAGGCATCGTTAGGGATCACACAGGATACTACATCAGGGTATTTTCAGCATCGTATGGCACATGTTTGATTTTGGTGGCTGAGCTCAGAGCTATACTAGATGGGATTTTATTGGCCAAAGGGCTTGGGATATCAGCTATTTGGATTGAGGTAGATTCAACGCTGGCCATTCACTGCATCACCAAAGGTGGAGGACCATGGACGATTCAGGGTATTCTAAGACAGATCAAAGACTTCATTTGCCTTGACAGAGACACAGTTTCTCTCATCTACAGAGAAGGTAACCAGGTTGCAGATTCTCTTGCTTTAGAGGGCTAGGATCACCAGCATTACCAAGAATATGGACCACTTGAGCTGCCTCGACAGATTAAGGCGTTGGTGCAAGTCGACAGATATGGATTACCAAGCTTTAGAGTTTTGTAGTTTAGGCAATCATTATTTCATTTTTCTTGTACAAGGAAGTAGTACTTCCTCATTTACTTTGTTCATTTTTAATTTTTCATTTGTTGCACTGTTGCTTTTTGGAGGTCAGGTTTATGCCCCCCTCTTTCTATGTACTCTTGATTTTTATGAAATAAACATGGTTAGGGAACCCTTAACCCCCATCGACCTTCCTTGGTGGACCCTAAAAAGTCATTAAGGATGTGTGGATGTCTTTACTAAAAAAAAAAAACCCTAAACCATTCTATTCTATTGTCTACAAAATTACTCAAATTTTATTTGAAAATCTATCGATTATTCGCTTAAAATGGCTTCAATCAAAAATATTTTCTTATTTTCGACCGTCATGTTTTTGCTGTGTATTCTTTCTGAAGCAAGAGAGTTCGTAGTAGGCAGTGAAAATAATTTATGGGCAGTTCCATCTTTTGTTGATGAGTTCAACAAATGGGTTGAGAAAACTCGTTTTCAAATTGGGGATTCTTTAGTTCTGAAGTATGATTCCAAGACTGATTCAGTGCTGGAAGTGACTGAGGAAGGCTACAAAATCTGCAACAATGCCAATCCAATAAAATAACACCATGATGGAGAAACTACAATTTCATTGAAAAAATTAGGTCCATTTTTCTTCATCAGTGAAGCTGATGAACATTGCAAGAAGGGTCAAAAGCTAAAGGTTATGGTTCTGTTCGATAAACATTGCTCCGACCACCAATATACAGTGCAGGCACCTTCTCCTCATCATCAACATCACCACTACCATCCATCAGCGCCAGCCTCGACTAACGGTTGTACTGGTCTGAAGGCGGCGGAGGGGTTTATTTGTGGCACTGCGACGGTGGGAAGTTTGGTTTTGTTGTGTAGGCTAGTTCTATTATTCATGTGTTGTACTATTGAGCTACATTTTATTTTCATTATTCTTTGTCATGTATATGCTTCATGCTTTTAATTCTAAATTAATTAAAAAAACCCCAAAACCCTAAACCCTATGACCTAGAAATTACCTAGAAATGCTTGGAAATCAGGCTGCGTCCCTACTGTTGTCCGGACATAGCCTACACACCGTGCCCACAAACTGCCTAAAAATCAGGTTGCGTCGCTACCTGGCCAGGACACGTCCTGGCCATGGCCTGTACACTATGTTCAAAATTTGCCAAGAAATACTTGAAAATCAGGCTCTGTCCCCGACGTGACCCGGACATGACCTGCCTAGAAATGCCTAAAAATCAGGCTGCGTCCTTGCTGCGGCCAGGATACATCCCGGACATGGCCTGCACACTGTGCCCAAAAACTTCCCAGAAATGTCTAAAAATCAGGCTACATCCCTACCGTGGCCAAGATACGTCCTGAACATGGACTGGACACAGTGCCCAGAAATTGTCCAAAAATGCCTGAAAATCAGGCTACATCCCTACCGTATCCCGAACATAGCCTGTACACCGTGTCCTAGAAACTGTCTACAAATGCCTGAAAATCAGGTTGCATCCCTGTCGCGTCCTGTACATGGCCTGCACACCATATCCCAAAAACTGCCTAGAAATGCCTGGAAATCAGGCTGCTTCCTTGTCGCGGCCTAGATGCATCCTGGACATGGCTTGCACACTGCTTCCCAGAAACTGCCTAGAATTACATGAAAATCAGGCTGCATCCCTACTGTATCCTGGACATTCACTGCACACCATATCCCAGAAACTGCCTAGAAATGCCTAAAAATCAGGCTGCGTCCCTGCCACAATCAGGATGCGTCCTGAACATGGCCTGCACACCGCTTCCCAAAAATTGCCTAGAAATACTTGAAAATCAAGTTGCGTCCTTGCTGTATCCTGGACATTGCCTGCACACCATGCCCAAAAACTACCTAGAAATGCTTGGAAATCAGGTTGCATACCTACCGCAATCAGGACGCATCCCGAACATGGCCTGCACATCGTGCCCCAGAAACTGCCTAGAAATACCTGAAAATCAGGTTGCGTACCTACCGCGATCAGGACGCGTCCTGGACATGGCCTGTACACCGTGCCCCAAAAACTGCCTAGAAATACCTGGAAATCAAGTTGCGTACCTACCGCAATCAGGACGCGTCCTGGACAAGGCCTACACATCGTGCCCAAAAATAGCCCTAAAATGCTTGAAAACCAGGCTCCGTCCATGCCGTGGCTCGGACACGTCCTAGATATAGCCTGCACATCGTGACCCAAAGACTGCCTAGAAATGCTTGAAAAGTAGGTTACGTCCCTGTCGCGGCCAGGATGCGTCCTGGACATGGCCTGCACACAATGCCTAGAAACTGTCGAAAAATCCATAAAATCATGTTACGTCCCTGACGTGCCCATGACTTGTCCCAAATATGTCCTTCACACCGTGTCCCAAAAACTGCCCAGAATGCTCAGGACGTACCTGCGTCCCAGATATCGCTTGCACATCGTGCTTCCTTCATTTGGTTGAAAATCTACTTACGTCCCTAACATGGCCGGGAAGCGTCCCAAACATTGCCTGCACACTGTGCCCACAAATTGGCTAGAAATGCATGAAAATCAGGCTGCATCCCTGCCGCGGCCAGGACGCGTCCCGGACATGGCCTGCATGCTGTGCCCACAAACTGTCGAGAAATGCCTGAAAATCAGGTTGCGTCCCTGCCGTAGCCAAGACGCGTCCTGGACATGGCCTGCACACCGTGTCCCAGAAACTTCCTAGAAATGCTTGAAAATAAGTCTTCGTCCTGGACATGTCCTGCACACCGTGTCCCTGAAATCCTGAACCCTAAACCCTAAGCCCTAAACCAACGCTGGACCCTGGACCTTGAACCCTGGACCTGAACCCAAAACCTTGAACCCTAAACCCTAAACCATTCTATTCTATTATCTACGAAATTACTCAAATTTTATTTGAAAATCTCTCGGTTTATCACTTAAAATGGCTTCACTCAAGTATATTTTCTTATTTTTGACCGTCGTGTTTTGGCTGTGTGTTCTTTCTGAAGCAAGAGAGTTCGTAATAGACGGTGAAAATAATTTATGGGTAGTTCCATCTTCTGTTGACGAGTTCAAAAAATGGGTTAAGAAAACTCATTTTCAGAATGGGGATTGTTTAGTTCTGAAGTATGATGCCAAGGCTGATTCAGTGCTGGAAGTGACTGAGGAAGAGTACAAAATCTACAACAACGCCAATCTAATAAAATAACACCACGATGGGAAAACTGCAATTTCACTAGAAAAATCAGGTCCATTTTTCATCATCAGTGGAGCTGAAGAACAATGCCAGAAGGGACAAAAGCTAGAGGTTATGGTTCTGTCCAATAAACATGGCTCCAACCACCAATCTATAGTGCAGGCACCTTCTCCTCATCATCACCATCACCACTACCATGCACCGGCGCAAGCCTCGACTAACGGTGGTACTGGTCTAAAGGTAGCGAAGGGGTTTGTTTAGGGTACTGGGCGGTGGGAAGTTTGGTTTTTTTGTGTATACTAGTTTTATTTTTTATGGGTTGTAGCGTTGAGCTACATTTTATTTTCATTATTCTTCGTCGTGGCTTGGACGTGTCCCGGACATGACCTGCACATCGTGACCTAGAAACTTCTCAGTGACCATTTCTGTAAGTTTCTAAATTTTAGTGATCGTTTCTGAAAGTTTTTAAACTTCAGTGACCGTTTCTACAAGTTTTTAAACTTCGATGACCATTTTTTAAAGCGCCACCCGAAACTTAAGTGATCGTTACCTTAAGTTTTAAACTTTAGTGACCACTTTGTAATTTTCGTGCAAGTTTTAGTGACCGTTTGTGAAATTAACCCCTTTGTAAATGTTTTATAATCTTTAACAAACGAAGACAATATATTTCCCAGATGATTTTTTTCTTTTTTTTTGTTTGTTTTTCCCCTTGTGTTATAATATAAACTTGTACATAACATGTGCTAAATGAAAATTTGACAAAAGATTTTCCCAACTTTAACATATTTTCTGCATTAATTGGGAATGAAACATTAATACATTGTTGCTTCAAAATAAGCACGGTACTAAGTACCACTGTGATCGCGTCAATTGTAATTAATTTAGAAAGATCTTTTAATCCTCGTGTTTTGACTGTTTTGAGAACACTTTCGTGAGAAGCTCGATATCCAATTTAATAATTAAATTTTACCATTTTTATTGTTGATTAGTCACCGAATTCATAATAAAATTTCAATCAAATAAAGTGCCATATCAACAATCCTTCAAGGTTTAACAATCACGGAACACTATCATAGTTTTAACTAACCGGGTTAGGATATATTTGGGATAATTTTTGCTTCGACTTTTACTTTTGATTCTTCTAAAAAGAGCTTTTTGAGAAAATCATATTGAATCTTTTTTTTTTTTTTTGGGGAAGTTCTTGTAAGATGATCTTCTAACAAGAAGAAATATTTATTAAAAAATCATTCTATTTAAGCCCCTATTTGATTATCAACAACAGCTATTTTTTAAATTATCATATCACTACAGTTATCAAATATTGATAAAATATCCCTTATAAAGACAGTGTTATTTAAAGACTATGCAAGACAATGCGGTGCTTCACCAGAAATTGTAATATTGAAGACATTGATGTACGAGACATTAATAACTTGATATAAGAATTAAAATCAGTTTTATCTCACTGGATTTTCTTGACAATGTCTTAACGAAACATCATTTTATTACTCCAATTTATTTGTCTCTTTTTTAATTTGTTGGCATTTTTGTCCCATAGGATTTTTTTGTCAAACATGGTTTCAATGAGATGGTTATTGTACAAATAATCACCAAATAGGGAGTGTTGTAAAATAATGAGAAAATTATTTCTGATTATTTAGTACTATCATGATACATATATGAGTCTTATTTAGTTTAAAAGATCTATTTTATTCTAATTATAACTTTTATTTTGGACCTTATAAATATAGGGTGTTAGTGCAGGCTGCTTCTAGGACATGGTCTGCACACCGTGCCCAAAAACTTCTCAGAAATGCCTAAAAATCAAGCTGTGTCCCAGCCGTAGTCTGGACGCGTCCCGGACAAGGCTTGCACATCGTATCAAAAAAATTGCCTAGAAATACGTGAAAATCTTTGTGTGTCCCTGGAGCATCTTCAACATAGCCTGCACACCGTATCCCAGAAACTACCTGGAAACTAGGCTGCATCCCTACCGTGGTCCAGACGTGTCTCGGACATTACCTGAACACCGTGTTCCAGAAACTGCCTAAAAATACCTGAAAGTTTGGATGCGTCCGTGGCATCCTGGACATGGCCTGCACACCGTGTCCTAGAAACTGCCCAAAATTGCCTGAAAATCAAGCTCCATCCCTGCCTTGGCCACGACGCATCCGAAATGTGGCCTGCACACCGTGCCCAAAAACTTCCCAGAAATGCCTGAAAATCAAGCTGCGTTCCTGCCGTGGCCCGGACGCGTCCCCATCATGGCCTATACACCATGTCCTAGAAAACTGCCTATAAATGCCTAAAAATTAGGCTGCATCCCTGCAGCAGCACCGACGCGTCTCGAAAATTGCCTGCACATCGTGTCTAAGAAATTGCCTAGAAATACGTGAAATCTGGACGTGTGTCTGCAGCATCCTGGATATGGCCTGCACACCGTGCCCCAAAAATTGCCTAGAAATGCCTAGAAACCAGGCTGCATCCTTGCCATAGCCCAGATGCGTCGCAAACATTGCTTGCACACCATGTTCCAGAAACTACCTAAAAATACCTAAAATTCAGGATGCGTTCCTGCCACATCTTGGACATGGCCAGCACACTGCATCCCAAAAACTGCTTAGAATCGCCAGAAAATTAGGCTCCATCCCTACCGTGGCCATGAGACATCCCGAACATGGCCGCACTCCGAGTCCTAGAAATTGCCAAGAAATGCATAAAATCAGGCTGCATCCCAACCGAGGCTAGGATGCGTCCCGGACATGGCCTGCACACCGTGCCACAAACTGCCTGCAAATACCTGAAAATCAGGATGCATCCCCATTGCGGTCAGGACGCGCGCTGGACGTGGCCTACACACCGTGCCCAAAAAATTCCCAGAAATGCCTAGAGATTAGGCTGCATCCCTGCAGCAAGCCCGACGCGTCCCTAAAATTGCCTGCTCACCGTGTCCAAGAAATTGCCTAGAAATACATGAAAATCAGGATGTGTCCCTACAGTATCCTGGACATGGCCTACACACCGTGTCCCAGAAACTGCCAAGAAATGCCTGGAAACCAGACTGCATCCCTGCCGTGGCCCAGATGCATCCTGAACATTGCCTGCACACTGTGTTCCAGAAACAGTCTAAAAATACCTCAAAGTCAGGATGCGTCCCTGTTGCATCCTGGACATGCCTTGCACGCCGTGTCCCATAAACTGCCCAGAATTGCTTGAAAATCAGGCTCCATCCCTACTGTGGCTATGACGCGTCCCGGACATGGCCTGGACATCGAGTCCCAGAAAATGCCAAGAAATGCTTGAAAATCGGGCTGCTCCTTACCACGGAAAGAACGCGTCCTAGATATGGCCGGCACACCATGCTCACAAACTGCATACAAATGCCTGAAAATCAGGCGGCGTTCCTACCGCGGTCAGGACATGTCCCATACATGGCCTGCACACCGTGGCCAAAAACTTCCTAAAAATCCCTGAAAATCATGCTGTGTCCCTGCCGTCGCCCAAATGCATCCCGTTCATGGCCTGCACACCGTGTCCCAAAAGCTGCCAAGAAATGCCTAAAAATCAAGCTGCGTCCCTAACGCGTCGTGGACGTGACTTGCACACTGTGTCCCAGAAAACTACCTAAAAATGCCTTGAAATTAGGTTGCTTCCCACCGCGACCTAGACGCGTCTCGGACATTGCCTACACACCATGCACCAGAAAACTACCTATGTCAAACCCTAAATAATTTTAAACACCTTAGTGACCTAAGACATGAATATTGGATGGCTAAAGTATACTTCATATTTTTAGTCTCATTTGAGACCCATTTACGACATAGAAAACATTCGATTTGGAAAATGATATCTCAAGAAAAGTTGTAGCTCTTTGAGTTAGCTTTCCAACACACTTTGAATTACCTCAATTCAATTTGGAAGAAGAAGTTATGATAGAAATACTAAAGGCTTTGCAATATCAATCGAAGTGCGCGGAATATGAAAAGTCAAATTCCTACACGATTTTCTAGCACCTTCTTAAACCTATAACTCCCACATAAATGGCACCTGTATTAATGAGTATTATGCCCTTCATTTGCCCTTAAGTTGTGAGATTTTCACCTATAAATAGGCCCCAATGCATACACATTTTTCGCACCGAGATAAAAGCTTCTAAGCATAAAAGAGAGTTTTCAAGTCTAGAAAAAAGAGAAATGAGAGGGAGAAAAATTAGTTTTTCCTGGAAGTTTTGGTGCTATCAAGAAGTGTTTTCCAAGCATCAATTCTTAACAGAGTGTTTTTTTGAAACGGCAAAGGAGTGCATTTTTCAACAAGGTTCAAAGCATCAATCAAGGTAGGTAGAGGTGCAAAGTGTTAATTCATGTTAAGTTATAAGTTTCTAGTAAATGAAGATTTATGTTAATGTTTGTATGTCTAATGGTACCTCCGGTACGGCACATACCTCCATGTCTAATGGCACCTCCGAGTACGAGCATGTACTTCCGGTCGAGGCGTCGTGTTAAGTCATGACTCGCCACGGCAGGGACGCAGCTTGATTTTCAAGCTTTTCTGGGAAGTTTTTGGGCACGGTGTGCAAGCCACGTCCGGGATGCGTCATGGCCAAGGTAGGGATGGAGCTTGATTTTCAGGCAATTTCGGGCAGTTTCTAGGACACGGTGTGCAGGCCAGTCCAGGATGCCACGGACGCATCCAAACTTTCAGGTATTTTTAGGTAGTTTCTGGAACACGGTGTTCAGGCAACGTCCAGGACACGTCTGGGCCATGACAAGGATGTAGCTTAGTTTCCAGGTAGTTTTTGGGACACGGTGTGCAGGCCATGTCGAAGATGCTTTAGGGACACATAAAGATTTTCACGTATTTCTAAGCAATTTTTTGGACACGATTTGCAGGCCTTGTCCGGGACGCGTCCAGGCTACAGCAGGGACGAAGCCTAATTTTCAGGCATTTCTGAGATGTTTTTGGGCATGATGTGCAGGCCATGTCCTAGAAGTAGCCTGATTTTCAAGAATTTATCATCAGTTTCTAGGTCACGGTGTGTAGGTCATGTCCCGAACATGTTCGAGCCATGGTAAAGAATAATGAAAATAAAATGTAGCTCAACGCTACAACCCATAAATAATAAAACTAGTATATACAACAAAACCAAACTTCCTACTTCCCAGTGCCACAAACAAACCCCTCCGCCACCTTCAGACAGTACCACCATTAGTCGAGGCTTGTGTCGGTGTGTGGTAGTGGTGATGGTGATGATGAGGAGAAGGTGCCTGCACTGTAGATTGGTGGTCGGAGGCATGTTTATCGGACGGAACCATAACCTCTATCTTTTGACTC